TTTCCAAACATGAATGATGACTAGGAAAAGTTTAAATAAATCCAAATCAATTTAATTTTAGATTTGAAGTCATTCAAAATTTTCCATAAATGGAATTTCCAAATTTGGAAAGAATTTGAATTTTGAAATTCAAATTCCCAAGAAGGCTGGGGAAGGGAGGTGTGGGGAAGTGGTGGAGAGGGAAGAGGCCGGTGGCAAGGTGGCCGGCCGGCGGAACTAGGGTGGCCGGCGGGTAGGGGCTCCAATGATGGCGAAACTAGTGAGAGGTTTTGCTCCTTTCAACTATTGGTCGTTGCTTGCGAGAGATTGTGGTGGAGAAGAAGAATGTTGCATGAAGAGGGGAGAAAGGCGATGAACAAGAATATACGAGAAAGATAGGGATAACTAACGAACTCACACAGAGATCGTAAGAACCGCGAACCTCAGACTCTTCCAAAGATTGACTGATATTGCGAATTACTCTCCTCGGGCTTCTCCTCTCATGAACTCACTAAGAGATCACATGAACTCACTAAGAGATCAACAAGAACATAAAACTTTTTATTATCAATAATCATCATCCCTTTTCCAATAGGAAGGGGAAGGCTTAAATAGCCAAATACATGAAGGAAAATAAAAAGACACAAGTGCCCCTAGGGCCACATAAGACAAAACCCCCAAGTGAGGGTATAAATGGAAAAGTACAAATAACAAATAAAATACATCAAAATAAGTAGACACGATCGTAGCCGTTGATCTTCGATGTCCCATCATTCTCCGCAGGTGGGAGAAAAAACTCGACTCCGTCGAGTTAGTGTCTCGAAAACTCATCGTGCATCTGGGTTTATCTGTTGTAGCTCCTCGCACTCTGACCACGTATCCTCTGACTTTGGTTCACCTCTTCACTTAGTCAAGTATCTTCTTCGTTCACCCTCTTTTGTGGAACTAATATCATCACTAGGAATCATGTCAACCTTCTCCGCTATAGGAATTTTGGGAATAAATTTAGGAGTGGATGTAGGCTTTGGGGTTCTCACAAGGTGGGGTCACACAAGGCTTAATTTGAATTGGATTTGAGGGTTTAACTCCGGACCTTCAAAGTCTACTAAATCTTTTATGTTTGAAAAGGAATAAACATTGAATTCTGCAAGCAGATCTACCACGCAAGCATTGTTATAGATTTTATTGACTATTCTAAATGTTCCCGCACTTCTAGCATG